ATTAATCAAATATTTTTAATAATTTGTATTTTTCTATTTTGAAAATTTGAATTTGTTTATGTTTAGAGCATAGACAGAAAACGCTTTCACGGTGTAAAATATAGACAATTCATTGCGTTTGAGTGTGCAAAGAAGTTGTAGGTCGTAAAAAATATGCGTGTGGAACGACAAGACGAATATTTTGGCGTAAGTAATTTTGTTTATCAATGCCGTGATCCGCGAGAATGGTACTGTCGCCTATGCGGCATCTATATTATATTTCGGTTAATGGTCATTTTTATTGGACATTCGAATATTTATAAGCGAATAAACATGAAAAAACAGTGCTACGAGTATTTCGTAATTGTTAAACAAAAATAAATTATAGTAACCGACGACATAATAATATCGAAATATCTGACAGTGTAAACATTTTTCATTATTATATAGGTGTTAATTAAGTGGAAAGGACTAATAAGCGGGTACTCTCTAACCAGTCTAACCCCTTTAATTATAGAAAAAAGTCCAATAAAAAATCTAATTTATTATTATTAAAATATGTAATAAATGTAAGTACCTTATTTTGTTTTATAGGTAACCTTAATCAGAAACGGCTTGAACATGTAAACAATCGGGCCTTTACCCTGGTCTAAATTTGGGGTAGGAAATGGGATGGTCATCGTTAATATAACTGATTTTTTTTTAAATAGCTGTAATTTATTTATTTATTTTTTTTTTTTTTGAAATATTTTAATATTCTATATCAACTAACATTAAATGTAAAGAGACGTTGTGTCAATACTATCACTATTATTAAATTTGTCATTTGATAATTGTATTATTATAAATCAACACCTAAACGCCAGAGTATATTAAGTTTTGTATATAATCGAGGAAATATAAATTTAACGAATTGGCAAAGGCATTTGGATCTATCTTATTCAATTAATATTAACTTGAACTTCGAAAAGATAATAATTGAAAATTTACCATTAAATTAAATATAATACTGACTATTATATTATATCAATTGATAGACATTTATAAAAATAATATCTTTTTATAATATTTTTATTGTTTAATGTTTAATAAATAATTTAATAATAAGTGGTATTTTTATATGTATATTATCTTAGTGTGTATTTTATTGTTTTAATATTTGTGTATTATGAGAAAATAATATATATTAATACATTATAACATAAATAATAACTTGGTCAAACTGATTTTTTTTATTTGGTAAAATATCAAATTTTGTGCCATGGTGGGTTGATGGATGGTAAATTTTAGGCTTGCCCCAATAAAATAAAATTGTCAAACTGCCACTAATCTTTATTAACTACTACGGAAAGGAATTATATAATGTATTTTTTGTAGCATAAAGCCATAAACTATGGAGTACTATAGGTACCTATAGCGGCGACACAAACTGTTTTACTAGTGAGATAAGAAAATTGTAATATAACACATGATTTATTATATTATTATGATATCTTTATCGTTTATACTATATCAAACGGTACTCGCATATTTTGTTCTGTTCAGATTATTCGTATAAAATATCATAAATCATAGTTAAATATACTTCCATATCGAAGCGGCGAAGACGAATTATTAACGTTCCTCCGGTGACAGTGCACTGTATTCTGTATAATGGCACAGGTATTTCTGATAGAATAAATTAATATTTACTCTTAGTCTTATTTCTACTCTTTTCAGACGAGTGATCTAATATACATAATTTATAAAATTGTATAAACTCGAACGTGAAAATATATGAAATATGAAATGCACGAGTCTGAAACAACCAGAGCGTTGCGTTGTCGTTTACTTTAACGCGTTTATCCCCCTTCCCTTCTGATCGTAAAACATAATAATAATAAAAATAAAATAAACAGTAAGTCCTCGTTTAACGTTGCCTCATCTAGCGTCATTTTCCTATTGCGTCGTAGAAGTTTAAGTCATGTGTTTCAGCATAACGTTGTTTGTAATACATGTGTTCATAAAATGTTTGTTATTTATATTTATATAGGTATACTCGTATATTTTGTATAAGTCGTTACTTTTAGTAATTTAATTTCGTTGACCTTTTTTAGACGATATTGTTAACATTTTGATTGACATACCTACTATAAATAGGCACTATTTTTATTTATTTTAGATTATATGTGCTCCGTAATCGTTTTTAATTTTATTGATAGTCAGTTGTTCGACAACACTTAAACTATCGATTATACAGTTTTTGTACATACAATACAATATAATATTTTACACGCTATTCAAAACATTGGAAAATCCTGGAGAGAAGTAACTCAGAAGTGTATGAATTCAACATGGTGATTTGGAAGGAATGTGTAGTTGATGAAACAAAAATCATACCGGTTTCTACAATAAATCAAGATACTCTAATGATTGCGAGTAATAAATGTCCTGAGCTAGAAAAAGAAGATATCGATGAAGTGATTTCTTCTTGTGAGGAAAAATTAAGTAATGAAGATTTACTCAAATTAAATCAAAATCAACATTACGACAGAGTTCAAGAGGAAAACATTAAAAAAACTAGATGAGAAAATAAAATTCACGAACCATGGTTAAAGGATTATCTAGCGCTTTACGATAGATTGAAGAAGGCCTTAAAAATATAAAATTTTAAATGAAGAAGATTTAAATCATAAAAGATTTTGGCAGGTTGAGCGAAATGTTTTGAACAGCTAAACGTGTAACTGAAAATTGTGTCGTGATAAGAAAAATACAGCTAAACAGCCAACACTTAACTCATGTGTTAAGAAATAAATTGTAAATATGTGTGTTAATTTGATTATAAGTTTTAGTTAATTTTTATTATAATAAATGTAATTTAATATAAACAATTAAATCATGAAATTATTATAATTTATATGTACATTATTATATATTGACAGGAATTCATTATAATAAAATTATGTAAAGTGTTTTGATTCGTCGTTTTTTTAGGAATCTAACCTCGACGTTAAATGGACCTACTGTATTAATTATTAATAAATTTGTACATCATTAAACCATTGATAAATTATCTAAAAAAAACAAGACATCATAATATTAATAAATCCCTAAATTGATTCTTAAGATAAAAATTAAAAATCCATTAATTAATATACAACGAAACCTTTGAATATCGGACACCCTTGATCGCCGAAATATTGTCCTCTATTCGGAGGTTTCCGCTATTTAGAGTGAGTATATTTTTGAAATTCATTAAAAGTAAATGTTTAAAGGTAAAACATGAGCTAGGGCCAAGGATAAATTTAACTATAATATTATTTTATGTTTGAATTATATAATGATTTAATATTTTAACAATCAATACATATTTAAATGAATATAAAAATTACAGAAAAAATGGAATGCATATATATACATAAATATAATTTAGTTTGGTGTGAAAAAATAAGTTTTGTATCGTAAGAGTATTTTTTTGTCCGCTATTTGGAGGTTTCTTCATTGAAAAGTACTGAAAATGCTTCTGTTTCCAAAAAATCTTCCACTAGAGATGTTCGTTAAGGGAGGTTTTACTGTAAATATGTATAATGTATATAAAACATTGAATGTGAAACAAAAATTATTAGATACTCCAGTGATAACTGATGATACTTAAAAAAAAACTCACCCGCTATTAAATAAAAAATTTTTGTTTCGAATATTCACATTCCTATAGTTACCTAATATCTACAGTCTTGATCCACAGTCCCAAACAGGCCTGTAGATTATCTTTGCATAAAATTCTTGATGCAGCAAGGATATTCCATATACCATAGTATTGCCCACTGTGCAATGGAATATTTCGGCAATATTTCTACAATATTAATTTGTAACTTGTAATGTTACATTTTAAGTGGCATTTACGTAATTGTAATGTGTATGGAACTGCTTATGTCCCGAGAAAGTAACTTCAATTGTAATATGAATACAATGTTTTATATTAACATTCCATACATGTTACCGGTAACATTTCATACAGGTTACTGGTAACATTCCGTGAACGTTACAAGTAATACTCCAAGCACGTTACAAGTAATACTCCATGCACGTTACAAGTAACATGAAATTAATGTTACTAAATAACATGAAATTAATGTTACTAAGTAACATGAAATTAATGTTACTAAGTAACATGAAATTAATGTTACTAAATAACATAAAATTAATGTTACTATATAACATTCATCTTAACCAATCCTTTAATGGCATTTATATTATTATTTTTTATAATAACAAAAAATATAAAAAGGAATAACAAATTTATTTAGTTCAAAAACAAATTAATAAGTGTTTTATTTTACTTCATAACAATTAACATCAATATGGCACAAAATTTAACTTATTGATAATTAACATTATTAATGTATAATTTATAATAATAACTTATTAAACTCAGATATCATAAAATAAAATAAAATTAATTACAGTAAACTTAATATTTAAAAAAATAAACTTTATGCATAAAAATCATACAATTATATAAGATATCTTTATACATCACAAAATAATAAAATGTATACTCTTTGCCATTTTCATATAGTTTTATTTTATAAGTGATCCAATTATCTGACGGTTCCACAGCCTCTTTTAAAAAATCGCTAGTAACATGAAACGTTCTAGGCGGCCATACACATTTATCAAATGTGTTGCCATCATTATCGACTGTTTTTAAAACCCAATTTGTTGGTATAACACTGTAATCATTACTGTCAGGAAATGTAGCGATTACCCATCGTTTTTTGATTTTCTACAACAATGTATGCAAAATTAATAATAATAAATTATTAATAAAAGTCAATGTGAATGATACCTACCGATTACTACCAACTAAAAAAGTTACAACAGTTTAACTAAAAAATAACAATCTTAAACTTAATTTTTAATTCTTAAACGACAAAAAATGTTATACCTATGTAAAAATATATGAAAAAAATATTAACTACAAAACATAAGCATAATTACTGTCTTACAGCTAAGGAGTAAGAAATTCACTACTTTGAAATTCATTTCTTTCTGTAGAGACGACTGAGTATAAATAATAAAGCTGGTCGCGAAAAATATGTTAGAGAAAAACAATGGAGAATACGAACAATCTTAGAAAATAATAATTGAAATACTTACATGGATTATTATGACTTGTATATATTGTAATTATTCTGAACACACTCTTCGGCACTTGACGCAAAGACTAACAAATAAAATAAAGATTCACATTGCTAGCTATTATTTAGCGCGCCGGTCGTTTTGCGGGTTCGGCTTCCCCGAAATCCGAATTGGAAAATCCAGTGATAGTGTTTATAACAATGGGATATAGCTATTTAAAGATATTTGTAAGATTATAAATAAAGTAATAATATTATAATTGAAGAATGTATTGCCCGTATTACCGCGTAAACAAGATTATTTCAATGCAATAATAATTAAACATTGAATGAATATTAATTTGTAACATTGCATAAATGTGTATTTTTAACATTTCAGTAATGTTACTTGATGATATATTTGGTATTATTATTATGGAACAATTATAGGACATCGCATTATTGTTACTTGGTAACATTTCATTGTGATCGAAACTTAACATTGCAGCAACATTTTGTAACTTAGATTGCACAGTGGGTGGTCATGTGTTATTTTAGATATGATATTCGATGCCTCTAATGTAGAATGCAATTACATGTCTGATGGTATGAATGTTTTCAATGTCGAAGTCGTTTGAAGATGACATTTTAAGGTAAATCTTGCTAATAAAATAAATTATAAAATTGGACATGACATCGTGCGGATTCAAATATAATGTAGTAGCTAGTATTTACTAATTATTATTTTAGTAAGAATTTATTGTAAGTTACTGATTATTATTGAATGACACTCATAGTATTTTTATTGTCGTTAATTAACGGTGATGTGAATGTGAAAACTGATCGAAAATTGGATAGCGTGTTGAAATGATACGTGTCAAAAGTTTGGACGTGTTAAATGAACATGAGAAGATAGATATAAATAAAGTTATTAACACCTTCGCTTGAAAAAAAGGAGAAAATGGTGTTGGAAGATTGGTCAAAATGACTAAAAATAGTAAAAATTGATATTTATTTGTAGTTTATTAATTATTATAACAAATATATTATGTGATAGAATTTAAATTTTTTGTCTTTTTTGTTCTTTGAAACATTTGTAAGATTAAAATTCATAAGCGATAGTCGCGACGTGTTAGCTAACCACGGTATAAGACGTAATATCAATCAATATTATAGTGATAGTGATGGAAAATTAAATGGAAACAAAAGTATAATAAGCTCGACCACGGTTATTGTTATTGAAACTAAACCGTAAACAGATCAAACATCAAACGCTGGATCAACTATACCATTTAGTAAATTAACTGCCTGAATTGTTGGTTTTCAAACGTTATTAAGCTTTAACGTTTTACGTCATTAAATTTTCCCTAAAGCCAAGTTCAAAGTTACGTCGAATATCGCCGAGTGTTAAAAAATTGAGTTCGGCCCGACTCATGGTAGATTATGGTTAATATTACACCCGGCTATAGTTATGAAAGAACAAGATACGAAACCATACACCACGTACACGGTATATAGTGTAAATTAACCATTGTATGGACTCCAGCGGTCACTTTGACCGTGATAAAAATTTGAAGACTGGTATACATTAGTACTTGGTATACAGTATATTAATATTATTAATTATCGGGTAACCGCCATATTTTCAATTTTCGTCGATCAGTTACAGAAAAATGCCGATGTCACAAGCCTTTTTATTCGCATCAGTTGTACCGTTCGAATCAAACCATTTTCGCGTCGTCATCTACGAGAACGTATTAATACAGTGGTGCAGTTCGTCGGAACCCCAATGAATTGGCTCTTAAATATAGGTATGTTAGCTTAATTTATTATTTCTGATTCGACATAATAAATCGTTCGTTTTTCTAAGAGTAAATGTTGTAGGCGGTGAATCAAGGTAAATCATATCATGACATCGTGTCACTAATATAATATTTAAAGGTTTCTATTGTAGGGATAAACAGTTATGCATAGCAAAGTAAAGCGTTTAAAACAAAACACATTTTTTTTTTTTTGAGGAAGGAGAAGGGGAGATTTTGAATTTTACACCGACTATGTATCTATATGGCGAAAAAAACTGCAATATCTACCGAGATATAGAATTTTGAGGGTTTAATCATTGGGATTTAGAATTCGTCACGGTATTTTCGTGCATTACCTTATAGGTACAGCAAGTAAACACGGGTGTATATTATATTATTATACGGCGTGGCGCATCACAGACAGCGATGATGCCGCGGCAAACTCGAAATACCTGCAGCTGCGAGCCAAAAAAAAAAAAAAATCCACTTTTATTTTAAGAAAACTATTATTGTGTTGTTTGTTTTATTTATGTGATACAGCGATCGGTTCGCGTGGTTTTAAAATAAAAATTATGAGTTAAAGCAATATATATAATATATATATTATATATATTTATAATACCTATTAAGTTATTCACAATAGAAACTCGAATCAAACACCTTTTATGGACTATAGTAATACAAGGTAAATGTGGACTTAAAATTTATGTGCAGGAAAAAAATGTTGATGAACATAAGAATTTACTGTACTATCCTGTAACAGTAAGAGTCTTTAACAGAGCATAAAAAACTTAAATTTGGAAATAAGAGGACGTGATCGTGATAATATGTTATGATTATATGTCGATATGAATACACGATCATTAATTGATAATCAATGGCTACTAGTGCTATCGCAGAAAGGTCGAATGTTTTTGTTTGCATTTTTAGGGAAGTTGTTATTATTTTTTTTAAAGTACAAATAACCTCGAGTTGTATATGAAATAGCCAATAAACAGGTATTAGTGGTTGTGGGACGTGCGAAAATCGGGTCGAAAATTTAATGGGACCGTATGCAAAAGTCCTCGTACGCGCCCCCGCCCTGCATCCACGGTGTTCGTCCGGAAGGCGATCGAAGCGTTCCGCCGCCACATTCTTGGCTCTTGTCACGGAAGCTAACAATAGATCTCTGCGTCGACGGCGGCCTAAATCTCCGGCACACAACAGGACGCAGCAATATACCATATACCGTATTTTTTCTAAATATTGTTGTCTGCATAATATTTTATACATATATTGCTCGGCGGGTGCATATATTATTATAGCATTATACCTATATAATATTATAAAACGATGGCATTAGAACCCAAATACCTGAAACCTGCAGAGTACGTTTTCAACACTAAATTTATAGCATTTCACATGCACTTAACTACAACTGCTAATCGTCGTTTAAGGGCAATTTTGTTTTTACAGTTTCTAAACTATCTGCCAAAACCGTACCGTGCGGACAATAACATACAGATAGGTTATCGTACTGAAGTGGTAGGTACAAAACTGCAATCTAGAACAACATATTGTTATGTGTTAGTAAATTATAACACATTAACGTCATTAGTTGTGGGCGTCCGTGTGGTATGAAAAATATAGTTATACTTAAGAGCGAATCGGCCATAAAAAACAATTTATGTATATTAAAATAGTTTAGTTGTTGTAATTATTGTTATGTTTATTGGTTATAGTGGTTCTACTATTTAAGTCAGTTTTAATAATAATGTAACGATGACACAGTTTTTGCCAAGGTTAACACGGTTTTGCCCCACCATTTGTAACATATTTATAAATAATAGATATTTTGGGATATTTTATTATTATTCCGAGTCGACATTTCGATTATAATATTAGTTAGTTTTTTGTCATGGGTCACCATGTTCAACGTTAATCGTACGCGCCTGTTCGTGGTAGTTATTATTGTTTGGAACCTTAAAACTTTAGAACTCTGAAAAGTCCAAGTAACAAACCTAATACCTACACTTACGCTTATATTTTAATATGGTTTTTTACAAAAAATCAATCATTTAAATACCATAATCTAAAAAATGTAAGCATTTTATTTCGCTGTCCTTAGCCTATAAATTGTTTGATCTCACTAAGTTATTGATTGGTAATTACAATCTATAATATTGTGGTATGAGAAGTATTTATTATGTAATGTAATAATCAAATATAATTTTCAAATTACGAGTTAGCATGTTGATGGACTTGGGTGGGGGAAAAGGGTAAACTAAAAATTGAAAAATTCTAGTTTTTGCACAGTTTGAATTGTTTAAATCGTGTGGTTTAAAAAAAAAATATTAATGAATTTTAGATTTTTGTCTTGAAATTTGTGTATATCACTGAAAACAAAAACTTAATTGTTCGACACGGTTTGTGATGTATGTAGTGTCCCTCCTATCCACTTTGATTAAATAGATCTATTTTTTAAGACTAGGAGAGACTACGTGTGTATTTTAATTGTACTGGTAAATCTTTTTCATACTCATCGACAAGTGCCTAATAATTCTATAACTAACAACATAACATATTATACCTGTGCACGATCACGATGAACATAGTGTATTATGTCATAGTGCATCGCACTACATTATATATGGTAATATCGCATATATGCCTATCGTGGCGCACTATATAATTGTCAGCGTACCGGTCGTTGCCAATAACGCGGGCGTTTAAAAATAAACGGGCGCGAAAAACCGTGTCAACTGTGATCGCGTTACCGGGTAATGCGTGTATATTATAATATGACTGTCCACCGACGCTCGATCGTGAAAATGTCAATGGGTCAGACCTATATACGAAATAATATTATTAGAAGGCGCGTCGTGTGATGAACGTATATCTATAAAACTGCAGGTGATTGGGGGCAATAGTAATATCATATTATATTAGTATGTTATTATTATCTTCATCGAAGCATCATTTTGACAAACTGACAAACGTCGTCGACGACGAATAACGACTGTAAAATTGTAATAATATTGTATCGTTGTCTATATGAGCCGCGCACGAGGATCGTCGATTGTAATATCGTACGTCTGTCTCATGTACGCAATCGCTTGCGTTTGATTCGTTTTGCACGTTTCAAAAAACAATTCGTTTGAGCTATAAAACTGTTATAAGTATCGAATACTATAATATTATATTGACCGAGGTCCCATAATGCAAGGTGAGAGCCTTTCCATTCTCTGGAGAGATAAGACTAGAATAGGTATTATATAACTCTTAAGTCTGAACGGATTAACTTAAAGTCCTGCTTTTATTCAAATAACACAAATAACTCTGACCAAATATAAAAAACATTCTTAGAATTAATTTGAAAACCATTTCTCTAACTTTTTTATATTACTGTAGGTACTACATATCAAATGACTAACCTTTAGTCAGATTATATACGTACCTACCTACTTGTTTTCGGCTATAGATTTTTCACACGTCTTGTTGAAAAAAAAAAATGAAGAATAGCGATTACATTATCTAATTCATTTTTATTTTTATTTATTTAAATAAAATGTTGGGATTCATTGAACATGCCATGTCAACTGTTATACGACAAAATTATTATAGGCCATATGGATAAATGTTAAATTGTGATTTTTAATTAACATTTTACCTAATCAAATCCTAGATCTTTAAACTAAGTTACTGTTTTATACATTTATTTTATAACATTATTTTCACTTAAATAGGTGGAATATATCA